GGAGGAGCACCTGCCAGATCCAGCTCTACTGCCCTGGGCCAGCTGTGGGTAGAGGGACATGGGAGCAGAACGAGGCTGGACCATGTCATGAGCCAGGTGCTCCCAGGAATGGCCAGGGGCATACCCCTGTGTAGCACTCCAGGAAGGAAGCAAGACACTGCTGGAAACAGACACCACATGTCCCTTCTTGGAGACAGCCAATGTGTGTGGAGAGTGCTCACCCTGTGTTTCCTAAGGACTTCAGGGCTGCAACAGCTAGGATGATCCACCTACCCTCACAGTCTCTACTGGAGGCATTTCCAGGGTCCAGCATCCTCTACAGCAGCCCCCAATGTGTGCACACATCACACAGGACAGAGCCAATCTTGACCATGGCAGGGGAGAGCAGATGGGAGCCTCCCTGTGCCCACCTGTGGGAAGGTCTTGAAGGTTTCCAGATGCCTTGAGCCTGCCTCCTGAGGGGCTAGTGGAAGGCCTCTCAGACATGGTCCCACTTCCCTTAGAAACCTCCCTGTTCCACCAGCCATGGCTAAACCCCTGCTCTGAACTCCAGCCTCCTTGGCAAGGGGCTGACCTCCTGCCTGGCTATTGTCAGCCATTCCCTTTGTTGATATCAACACAACAAACTGCTGGATTTTAATTGGGATTTGGTTAAATATATAGATCAAGTTAGCAAGAACTGACATCTTGACAATACTGAATCTTTCTATCCATGTATATTTGTTTTAAACGCCTCCATTTATTGTTTTTAATGTTTCTGAACCAATATCTGTCTTACAGTCTACATGTGCATTCATTGGTACAGTTTTCTTCTTCTTCTGAAAATCTGTTATCATGGGTAGTTCATCTCACATCTCAGAACTGTGCAGATATGATATAACTTGTTCTAGCCCTGTCTGGGGCAAAAGTCAGGGCCGCTGAACTGGGGCCAGGATCTATACATGGATCTGTGGGTGTTGACCCTGGCGGAGGCTTCCAAGACACCCTCCAAGTCCACCCTTTCTGCATCCAATCCAAAAGCCCGAAGCTTTGTGAGGGAGAGTCCTCTGGCTGGACACCCTGAATGCCAAAAAAAGGTCCCACACTGTGCCTTCTTCTGGCCTCCCAAGTTCATCGTTTTGAGGAATGCTGGAGCCACATTCCAAATTCTCTGTTACAGCTTGGATTTACAGGTTGGCTCTCCACATGGTTATTTAAAAACCATTCCTACTAATTGTCAAGTAAATGCAAATTAAAACCACAATGAGATACCACCTTATTCCTGCAAGAATGGCCACACATTTAAAAATAAAAAACACAGATGTTGGCAAGAATGTGGTGAAAAGGGAACACTTTTACATTGCTGGTGGGAATGTAAACTTGTAGAACTACAGAAAACAGTATGGAGATTCCTTAAAGAACTAAAAGTAGAACTGCCATTTGATCCAGAAACCCCACTATTGGGTATCTACCCAGAAAAAACGAAGTCATTATATGAAAAAGACACATGCATACATATGTTTATAACAGTACAATTCACAATTGCAAAAAAAAAAATATGGATCCAACCTAAATGTACATCAACCTAAATGTAATCGCCATCTAATCATCAAGAAAAATGTGGTATACATACACCATGAAATACTACTCAGCCATAAAACAGAATGAAATAATGGCCTTTGCAGCAACTTGGATGGACCTCAAGGCCGTTTTTCTAAATGAAGTAACATAGGAACAGAAAACCAAACATTTTATGTTCCCACTTATAAGTGAGAGCTAAGCTAAGAGGATGCAAAGTCATAAGAATGATGTAATGGACTTTGGGGACTCAGGGGGAAGAGTGGGCAGGGGTGAGGGATAAAAGACTACACATTGGGTATAGCATACCCTGCTCAGGTGGCGGGTCCACCAAAATCTCAGAAATCACCACTAAAGAATTTATCCATGTAACCAAAAACCAACTATACCCCCAAAACTATTGAAATTTTTTTTTTTTAAGTTGCTGCTCAAACAATCATTTTCAAGGTTTAAATCAGCCTAGGGTTACCTACTTGTCAACTGCAAACTTCTCTTATGCCAATAGTATTTCCAATGTCCTTTTCTGCATTTCATTCTGGAAAGCAGCCAGAAGAGGAATTATGTCTCTGAGGACACAATTATGCACACGTAATGAACTGGAAGCCACCCCTGAGTGGTTTGAGTAAGAATACGTGATGGTTAATGCTGAGTGTCAACTTGATTGGATTGAAGGATACAAAGTATTGATCCTGGGTGTGTCTGTGAGGATGTTGCCAAAGGAGATTAATATTTGAGTCAGTGGTCTGGGGAAGGCAGGCCCACCCTTAATCTGGGTGGGCACCATCTAATCAGCTACCAGCATGGCTAGAATATAAAGCAGGCAGAAAAACATGAAAAAGACTAGACTGGCCTAGCCTCCCAGCCTACATCTTTCTCCCGTGCTAGATGCTTCCTGCCCTCGAACATTGGTCTCCAAGTTCTTCAATTCTGGGACCTGGACTGGGTCTCCTTGCTCCTCAGCTTGTGGAGAGCCTATAGTGTGACCCTGTGATTGTGTGAGTTAATACTTAATAAACTCACTTTACACACACACACACACACACACACACACACACACACACACACACATCCTATTAGTTCTGTCCCTCTAGAGAACTCTGACTAATACAGACTATAAAAGATTAGTTCTTCTGGCTGCACCTTTTCTATGCTTGACCCCTAGTGATCTGCCTCTTTCCTCATCTGAAAAATGGGGTGTATTGGTCCATTCTCATACTGATATGAAGAAATACCCAAGACTGGGTAATTTATAAAGAAAAGGTTTTAATTGACTCACAGTTCTGCAGGGCTGGGGAGGCCTCAGGAAACTTACAATTGTGGCTGAACGGAAGCAAACACATCCTTCTTCACATGATGGCAGCAAAAAGAAAAGCTGAGCAAAAGGGGGAAAAGCCCCAGATAAAACCATCAGATCTTGGGAGAACTGACTCAATACCACAAGAACAGCATGAGGGTAACTGCCCCCATGATTCAACTAACTCTCACTGGGTCCCTCCCATGACACGTGGAGATTGTGAGAACTACAATTCAAGATGAAATTTGGGTGGGGACACAGCCAAACCAAACCATAGCACGACTTCAGAGCACTGGTGTAATAAGATTGCACTAGTTTCCGGGGACTGCCATAACAAAGTATTGTACCACAGTGTGTGGTATAAAACAACACCAATTTATTATCTCACAGTTCTGGAGGTTCAGTGTCCAATATCAAGGTGCTGGCAGGGTTGTACTTTCTCTGAAGGCTCTAGGGGAAGATCTTTCCTTGCCTATTCCAGCTTCTGGTAGTTCCAGGTGTTCCTTGGCTGTGGCAACATCACTCCAGTCTCTGCCTTCAGTTTCACATGGCTGTCTTCTGTTTGTGTCTGTGTTTGTTTCATTTTCCCTTTTCTTACAAGGACATCAGTCATATTGGATTAAAGGCCCATTCCAATGACCTCATTTTAACTTTATTACACCTGCAAAGTCCCTATTACCAGTGAGGTCACATTCACAGGTATTGGGGATCAGGACTTCAGCATATTGAAGGGTATATTTTAGATGGTACAATTCAACCCATAGCAATGATTATAAGATGGCCCAAAGTAGGCCTTCTTATAATCAATAAGAAGGAGAAATTACTGCTGAATATCTAAGATGCACCTTCTCCTGTACATGGTAATATTTATGAAAGAGTATAGATCTTAAGATGAGTAAGTACATTGATTCATGCAGGGTTTTTCCCTTGAAAATATGTTATTAAATAGATGGTTCATCTCACATCCTAGAACTGTGCAAGCATGGTATAAGTTGTTTTATAACAAGACACAAAAAAACCTCAATATGTCAATGACTGGTAGGAAAGTGGGAGTACGTGTACCCACAGAAAATGCTGGCAGCTATTAGAAACTTGGAAAGAAAGGATCATTGTTCCTGCAGACATGAGTTGCCTGGTTTGAGGTAAGGGAATAAGAAGAACTGCTTGTTTGTTAGTACGCTGTGACTCTCCAGCATCAGTATTCATTTCATCATCTTTGCCTGAGCACCTACTGCATACTAGGATCCAAGGATGCAGGGATGTAGTGGGAAGCATGAGTCGAGAAAGCACATGCACAGCGGCCTGTAGGCAGAGTGGGGTGGTGAGGTGGTTGCAGACAACATTGTTCTCCAAAAGCTGCACCTGCCTCTACTCACTGACTTCTGTGCTTTCACAACTGTTGTTTACTCTGCCTGGAACCGCATTTCCTCTCTTCCTAGCCTGTTATTTTTCCTTTCAGATTCAGCTCAGCTGTTCCCACATCCCCGATGCTTACTGTGCACTATGCTGTGTTTTCATTATTCATATATGTGTGTTCCCAGTGCCTTCCACAGTGCCCAGCACAAAGCAGACACTCTGGAAAACATATGTCAGATGAATGCGACTGAAGGAGTAAAAGTTACAGGCTACCCACGCTGAAAGGATCCATTAGGGGAAGGCAAGGTGAGGAAGAGGGCATCTGATTAGTTAGGGCAGAGGGCCCAGAGGAATGTGTCAGAAATACAATGTGGAAACACAAATGGAAAAAGACCAGCAGTGAGTGGAGACTCAGTAAGGAGAGCAGGTTGGGAACACGGAGGAAAAGGAATCATGTGGGCAGCTGGTTGGTGACCTTTTGCAAGCATGGGTCTTTTTGTCTGTCCCGTGTGCTTGGCTACATGCACTTGACCTGGGCTTTGCATACACAGTACACTGGAGGAGAGTGTCACAGCTGGGAAGGCTTCCTGGAAACCCTGGCATCAGGAGAGGTCCAGAGGAGAAGCACAAGGATACCATGGTGGTTTGCAGGCCCAGGCACAGGCTCCCCATTCTGCCTTCCAACAGGAAATGGCCCCTGCTTCCCTTAGTAGGAAGCTTGCTCCATGAGGGATGATAAACCACCTACTTCCAGGGCTTCCCTGGGTAACAGGAGGTCCACTGGGGCCTTGGGACTGTTCTCCCTGCCTCTTCTCTCTCAGTAACTGTAGTTGCCTACCTGAGGGAAGCCTCCCTGAGGAAGTGGATCCTTCTGGGCTCTGGAAGGCCATGAGGTCGCTGCAAATGCAAGCAGAACTATAGTTACTGCCTCTGTGGTCCCTTTGGTCACCTCCCCCTAATCCCCTCCTCCAGTTCTCCAAGCCCCTAAATCTAGCTCTGCATTTAACCAAACCACTGTCTAGACTCCAGACCCACTCACCTCACAGGGAGATCTCCGATGTGTATTCAGGTCAAGCTAAAGTTGCCAGAAACAAAGGGTTCTCTCAGGAAGGAGGAGATTCCATTTTGCAAGCGGAGTAATTCCCAGTATTTTCAGCAATTCTCTAATTGGTGGCATTCAAAGTATGGACTTTAGGTAACTTAAGGTGGGAAATTTCAGGCTGAGAAAGCCTTGCAGGCTGGTGCCTCCATGTTTCCTGGCTAAAGAAAGTGTCAATATGATCTCTCAGAAGCTCTTTATAGTCCCATAGGCCTTGTCCAGGACTGGATACCGGCTGGCCCTCCCACCACTGGGGCAAGGGTGAAGCTGGTGTTGAGATCAAATCTACTAATTCCACACACTCTCCATTTCACTTCTGCAGCCAGGGAAGGAGACTTGGTGGTATGGAGAGCTGGTCCACAGCCACTTCCTTCCCCTATGCCAGGTCTCCCCAATCCAAGTGTCTAAATGCACCATGATTCTCTTCACCAGGGCCTTGCTCTTCAGAGGTCTATCCTCTATACCATCACATTGGAGCCAATGTGAATATTTAATTGGACAAGCTACCAACTTATCAGAAGGGTGGTAAAAATCCAAGTTATCCTTTAAAACCATGGTCAGATATAAACTGATGCTTCTGGAATATTGTAACGTAAGCCCACCCCAAAGTCACAAGAATATGTTTTCTGGCTTATTTGGGGATCATGCTTTTACAATCCAGAGCCATTTCTGGCCTTTGAGTGAAGAATGCTTGGAGCCCCTAGTAAGATAGCCCTGGAATTTTGTAGCAAGTCAAGGAAAAGATAAAGTCAGTTTCTGCTAGTGGAGAAGATGGGGGTGTCATCTTCTCCACTAGTCATATTTAGCCTTGATGTATCTATCACCTTTCTTCTGAGAATGTAAAAACATTTCATAAGTGGTAATTAAGCTTCCCAACACTCCTGGTGCCTGCATATGGCCCAGGGTCTTTCTTTAATGTCAGGATTACTCATGGGTCTGTCTACCCAGGTAATTGAGGCTTTGGACCTCCATCTAGGATGGGACACTGAGTGAGGTCTCTGAGGTGAGCAGCAGGTTGTCAGTAAGGGTCTTTTGCACTTGCTGGAGAGAGGACCAGGTGGACATCTGGTTTCTGGCTGTTTTCTTTTTCTTCCATGAAAGCACAAGTAGTGTACAGGGCTGGGCTTCCAGTGTAGTTGAGGCAGTCCAGGTAATCCACCTCTTGAAGACTGGGGATGTGAGGCCTTGGATAGTCCAGTTTTTCCTGTTTTTCCTCACAGACAGGTTCATATGCTCCTCTTGGCAATTTACCTTGTCAGAGCAAAAGAATACACTGACAAGTAATTTGTGTGTCAGTGCCCTGTTGCCTTTGCTAGATGGCACCCAAGGCCTGGCCAACTCTGGGAGAACTGCTAAAATTGAACTTGTGGGCCTGCAGAGCAGAGGTTCAGCTCTAGGACTCCCTGGGAATCTCACTAAAGTAGCATCTGCCCTCAAGGCTCTGGACTCTGAGGAGCCCGCCTGGCCTCTATCTATGAAGCTCTTGAAAGGCCAATAGGGCCTGTTATTTAAGTGTCTGAACTGACAGGCCATCTCCTCATGCCTGCTTGGTGCACAGTCACTGGTAATGAAGATGGTGCTGTTCAATATGACCACTGGCAAGCACCTCTTTCTAATTGTGTGGGATGCAGGTTCAGCTAGATGCTGTGTTGCATCTGTACTCTTCCACCCTTACTTGCTGGGTGGCTCAGGGCCTATTACACAAGCTTCTCTGTGCCTTAGTTCCTCATCTGTATTTGAGTGCTCATTGAGAACCTCCTCTGGGCTACACATTGGACTTTACCCAGAGGATGGGAAAGGAAGCTGGGCCAAAAAGTCTGGGACAAGGTCTTGGTGCTTCAGTAGAGGAAAAGTTGATTGGAATACTCATCCTTAAAATCAGCTTGTGTAATAATATCCATTCCCCAGTGGGTGTTGGGAAGCTTAATTACCACTTATGAAATGTTTTCACATTCTAAGAAAGGTGATACATCAAGGCTAAGTATGACTATCATAATTGTGATCCTCTCAAGCTGCCCTTGGGGCTAAACAGTATAAAACTGTCATTTGTGAAATTCTGCTATTGCAACAAAGGATGACTATTATCCATAATGATTCTAGACTAATGTTTAAGGCATTGCTGTGCTCATGAAAACTTAAATCTGCCCTGAGTGAAGATGGTAAACTAGGTCATCTGCTATGAGCTTGTCCTGCCCTTGGATTCCAAAAGCAAACAAAATCCTTGAGGAGGTAGGCACCTGAAAGAGTACCAGACAGCAACAACATTCTTTGAACACCTAGCACATACCAGGCAGTGTGTTATGCACACTGTCTCACTTAATCTTCCTAACACGCTTAGAAAATAGGTTTTTAGGCCAGGCGCAGTGGCTCAAGCCTGTAATCCCAGCACTTTGGGAGGCCGAGGCAGGTGGATCACGAGGTCAAGAGATCGAGACCATCCGGGTCAACATGGTGAAACCCCGTCTCTACTAAAAATACAAAAAATTAGCTGGGCATGGTGGTGCGTGCCTGTAGTCCCAGCTACTCAGGAGGCTGAGGCAGGAGAATTGCCTGAACCCAGGAGGCGGAAGTTGCGGTGAGCCAAGATCGCGCCATTGCACTCCAGCCTGGGTAACAGGAGCAAAACTCCGTCTCAAAAAAAAAAAAAAAAAAAAAAAAAGAAAAGAAAAGAAAAGAAAATAGGTTTTTATCATTTCCATTCTGCAGAGAGAAGACTGAGACTCAAAGATGTTGACTTGCCCAAGAAAGATGAACTTGGCACTTGGAAGTAGGGCAGCCTGGAGTGGCGGCAAAGGCCAGGTGTGAAGTGACCACAAAGTTTAGACAGGATCCAAGGAGGCTCTGAACTGGGTTAGGAAAGTCACCATGATTTCCACGTCTTCAGCTTGAATACCCCTTACGAATAGGCCTGCTGCTAAGGGAAAAAGGGAACCTAGGAGGGGAAGGCAGTTGGGAGTAAGTGATTTTGGTGCTAGGTAACTTGAGTTTGGAATAGCCAGCATATCTGGATATGCTGCCTTGGGAATTGGAAGGGAAGTTGGGACCCAAACTTTGGAGTCGCTGACAGACCTGACAGGTAAAGCCTGGGATAACATTGCCAAAATGTAACATCTCACTCGTTGTCACTACTCCCAGGGCTCAGTCATCAGCAGGGAAAAGCTCCAGAAGGCAGCGCGGGCCAAGGTGACGGGTGTCTGCCAAGTCTTGCCCGCCAGACTCCTGGGCGGCGCACTCCCTCCCTGCAGGCCTTCAACCCGTCAGCATCATCCTCCTCGGGTCCCTGCTCACTCCCAGCCTCCATACCCTTTGGGGTCTCCTCCGCCAGCCGGGTGCAGACACAGGGCCAGCCGCCTCTCTGCCAGGGGAGCTCTGGGCGGGGCTCCGAGCGCATGCGCGGCCTCCGTACGGAAGCCCGGAAGGAGGGGCGGGGAGCGGTGGTTCAGGTTTCTTGGGGCGGCGGCGGTGACAGCGGCGGCGGCAGCGGCGGCTTCGGCTGCGGCGGCTTCGGCGGCAGCGGCGGCAGCAGTAACGGGAGCGGCAGTGGGGACGCGGCTGGCACTGGCGCCATGAACCCGCTGTAAGGCGCGGGGGTGGAGGAGGACGCCGCGGTGAAGTTCTCCGCCATGAACCTGAGGGGCCTCTTCCAGGACTTCAACCCGAGGTGAGGCGGCGGCGTTGGCGCCCTCAGGAGTCCGTGCTACGGGCTCAGGAGCGGGCTGGTGTTCGGCTCCAGGGAGGCACGGCGGGCGAGATGCTGCAGCCCGAAGACCCGGGCGCCTGCCTGAGCTTCCCTGCGGGTGCAAGCGGCTCCCAGGCAAAACAGTCGGCCTTGGCGCCCGCCCTCTTCCTCCTCCAGTGCCCGGTGCCTTCAGCCCCTGCCCGGCCACAGCCGGAAGGGCCCCACCGGGAGACTCGTCGTGCCCCAAGGGAACCCCACTCCTCTCCCCTTGCTCTCCCTCATTGCTGTCCCAAGTTCTTTCTCTAGGTTCCATCCTCTTCTGCCCCGCTGCGTGTCCTCCATTCTCCACGTCTGGCCGTCTCACTTGACCCAACACCCCTACCTCCACCCCAGCTGTTTGCTCCAGTTCCTCGCAGCCCTGGCGGTTTTCCGTGGATTTTTGCCCATCCTTTGCTTGTTGGCTTCTTTGTTGAACGGGTACCTGAAACATTGTTGAATCCCTGGAGTCAGTGTCAGAGTATGGCAATACCTTATATAATGCATTTCAGGGTGAGCCTGATCATTTTCCATATGCATTTTCTCATCAGTCTTCACTACAAGTTTATTTGCAGGAAGTAGATATTGCTGTCCTTTTCCAGATGGGGAGCACCCAGTGCACAGTGTGGAGAAAGCACTGGCTAAGGACTCAAGCGCCTGTCCTGCTCGACTGTTCTGTAACTGTTCTCTTCCCCCAGGCTGTGAGCTCCCTGAAGCTGAGACCATCTCCTGCATATCTTAGTGTCCCCAGCACCTCTCACCCACCGTGTCTGGCAAATAGTAGGCACAAATAAAATGTCTGTGGAACTACACTGAGCCCAAAGACTTGGATTGGAGACCAGGCCATATGTAACTTGATGATTCTCTCTCTGCCCTTCTTTGGCCTTTCTGTAAAATAAGAAGTTGGCCTAACTGATCTCTTAAGTTTCCCTTCTTCGCTAGTTGGGAAGACGTGTGCTCAGTAAACATTCCTATACTGTAACCTATGCTAGGTGCTTTTGATGCTGGCGGTCTCAGCCAAGGGGTGAAGAAGGACTTGTACGCTTAAGATGTCTTACGGTACTGTGCTGTGCTGTACTATGGGGGCCAAGTATGGGGACGACTGTCTTGGCTGCTTGTTGAGGATGAAAGGACGTCTTAGGGGAGTGTTTGTATGTTAAGTATGCAGTCTCCCTAGGGATGGTGACATTTTAACTTGTGAGTCATTGTGACTTTGTAGGTGCTTTTATTCCACTTTGAGTTCATGTTCTTGTCTGGAGTGCCAGTGTCCCTAACACGGTGCAGACATTATCATTGTTGGCCTTAACAGAACTAACTGCAGTACTTTCCTCTGCTGCATCAGGGGGTTACGATTGGTCTGCAGGGTAGTACGGTTGTTGCTGTAGCTAGACAAGCCATGTGTGTCTTCTGTTTAGAGATGGTGATAAGAAAGATAAGTAAAAGCTGAATTGTTTTGTGCCCCTGGGCGACTCACTTATCTATTGTTTTATCTGTAGAATGAGTATAATCTCTCAGAAGGGTAGGGAGGCCAATTCATAATTCATTACAAACTGGTTTATAAACAGAAAGCTACGTAACTTGTTTGCAATGTGACATATAATTCAGAAGCCATAAGAAACTGCTTTGAGTGATTAAACAGGATAACAGAGTTGCCAGTGCAAGATAGTGCTGCACTGATACTACCTTTAACCATTTTTTCCTTTAGCCCTTTCCTCCAAAAAATTAATATATGAAATTACAATGCAATACCTGATATCTAAACAGATTTGTAGTAATTATCAACATATTTATCAATATCTTAATTCTACCTGGATTAAAATGTATTTCTACCTGAAAAATTTAAAGGTCTTTTATACTGTGCCATTTTCCTGATTCTGTGTTGCCAGAGGTAGTGGGTTCCTTAATCTTAGATATTTCGAGAAGACATTGGCCAGGTATTGTTGGTAAATCAGATTTGGTTTTTTAGCTGGTAGTGTTTCATGTCTCCTGAGAACTCCTAGTTTTTGACATTGTGCTTTAGTTCCCTTCCATGCTGAGGAAGGCCTTCCCTGTAACTAGAAAGAAAACGGAGGGGTGTACACAGGAAGATACCTTATGTGGGGATTTAAACCTTGATGCCACTGCTTTGTCCCCTACCTCTAATTTTAAACAAATTCAACATCTCCTTCCTACCGCAGGAGGTTGTCACACACTGTTCTCTTTGCCAGGAATGTTTCCTTCTCTTTTCCTCTCCTCCAGACCTAGTGAACTCCTATTTATCCTCACTTGGTACTTGCTAAGGGAAGCTCTCCTGACTTCCCTCACAGATCTACTGCTCCCTGTTTCTACAATTCCTGTAGTAGGCACTACTCTTCCATCATAGTGCATATTTGTACCCTTGTATTTGTGTGCTTATTTGATTAATACCCACCTCCCCTACTAAACTTAAAGCTCCATGGGGTCAAGGCCATGACTGTGTCAGTTTTATAGCCTGCATACCTGGATTAGTACCTGGCTCAATAAATATTTGTGGGATGAATAAGTGAATAACTCTCCAGAGCCTATAAAAGAAATCTAGAGCTGCTGCTTTCAATCACTGCTTTCCTGGTGGTCTGTGGTCTGGTTCTCTTTCTTCTTGCCCTCTTCCCACCTTCAGAGTGCAGCCATTCCATTGGAGAGATGAGAAAGAATATGGTACTAAGGCAGAATATGGCTGTCTTTACTTTGCAGATTATGTCTTTGTCACAGAAATAGTCACTCTTATGGTTTGATGGGTCCCAAGGCGTGGGCCATGGCTCCAGATCCCCTTTCAAGCCTTTTGGATCTTGGTAAATCTGAATCCACTGCTGCATTGACAAGGCTCTGGAAACTGCAGTGACAGAGAATGATTCACAAGTGTCAACAGTCAGATGTGCAGGGCTGCTAGGTGACCCTCTGCCTATTTCCATCTGGCACAGGACTGATTGATCATGAACTTCTTTTCATAATTGCTTTTTAGTTATGCAGGTTAAGACATGCTGAAACAGATGTACTGGACCCACAAAGAAGTCCTTCCTTGAATACCTGAGGCTTCCTAACAGTGAAAGAGCCCCATTCTTAGAATAGGCAAACCGATTCCGAGGCATTCTGGGTGGTAGGGATCTGGGAGTAGGCAGCATTAGGTGGGCTCCCTGCACACACCATGGAGCCTTGAAAGTTTCTGCTACTTTGATGGAGTTGCTGGTTCAGAGAAGGCCCTTCCACTCTGGCAGCCATGTGGCACTGGAAGACTGTGAGAAAACTCTGCTGGGCCTTCTTAGTCATCTGTGGTGAGCTCCTGATGGGAGTATGGTATATACCTCAGGTGTGCTAGACTGGAACAAAGGCTGAGAAATGTTGTTCTGGGGGTTCCATCATGTGGCCACAGGGTACTGATGAGATCAGTAGTGTTTGGAAACTTCTATATGCTCCATATTCAGAATACATTCTGGAGTCTATGTAAGTTATCTTGTCTCTTGTTTGAAGTCAGGAAAAAGGAATGCGATTGCTGGTAATATAGTTCACAAAAGGCAGTTACCTGTCTTCCAGCAGTTATTTACGAAGTATATTTAGAACATTGGTTCATCAAACATCTCCTAGGTTCCTACCTCGTGCCAAGTGAGGTACTACGTGCTCTAAGTACACAAATCAATGGAATATAGTCCTTTTCTCAATGTGTAAGCCTAGTGGAAGAAGCAGAAATGAAAGGGAAATAAGAATTCAATAGATTATGAGGCATTACGGAGACAGGAACCAAATGTCTTAGAAGTACAAATGGCGGGACCACTAATTCTGTCTTGAGCATGCAGGGAAGAGACTGTAGTGGAAATGACTTTTTTTTAAAATATATATATTTTATTGCATTTTAGGTTTGGGGGTACATGTGAAGAATATGCAAGATTGTTGCATAGGTACATACATGGCAGTGTGGTTTGCTGCCTTCCTCCCCATCCCCTATATCTGGCATTTCTCCCCATATTATCCCTCCCCAACTCCCCTCACCTAGTTGCCCCCACCAGACTCCAGTGTGTGATGCTCCCCTCCCTGTGTCCATGTGTTCTCATTGTTCAACACCCGCCTATGAGTGAGAACATGCGGTGTTTGATTTTCTGTTCCTGTGTCAGTTTGCTGAGAATGATGGTTTCCAGGTTTATCCATGTCCTGACAAAGGACATGAACTCATCATTTTTTATGTCCGCATAGTGTTCCATGGTATATATATGCCACATTTTCCCTGTCCAGTCTATCATCGATGGGCATTTGGGTTGGTTCCAAGTCTTTGCTGTTGTGAACAGTGCTACAATGAACATTCGTGTGCATGTGTCCTTATAATAGAACGATTTATAACCCTTTGGATATATACTCAGTAATGGAATTGCTGGGTCAAATGGAATTTCCTGAGCTAGATTTTGAATTGAGCTAGTCTTTTGAGCCAGACTTTGAGCTAGAATTGTAGGGTTGTCACCAGACCAGAAAGCCAGAAGGGTATCTCAGAAGGGACAAAGTATGCAAAGGCATGGGGTCATGATAGTACCTGGTATGTTCAAGTAGTGAAGAGGTTTGTGTGGTAGGAGCATGCAGATGACATGTGTCATGTGAGTTAAATATGTAGTGTTAGTTACTGCAAATATTCTTTACAGATTATTGTT